CGGACGCACACTAGGTGCGGGAACGCAGCGGGGACGGCGAGCAGGGCGCAGGGGGGCGCGGGTGGCGCGCAGACGGCAAGTTGTTGCAGAGCACTGACACAAGGGATCACCTTGGGTGCGCTGTGCTTGTCGCCAGAAAAAGTGGTGCATGAAAACTCCTGCCAGAACTTTGACAAACCAGCAGCAGCAGCAGCAGCAGCAGCAGCAGCAGCAGTTGCAGCAGGAGCGGCGGAAAAGGGTCAGGCATTGAGACGCCGTCCAGCATGCGGCGCACCTGGAACTCGAGCGTAATAGCCCTGGGCCCTGCCGAAACCTCAATCGCAGCCGCCAGGTCCTCTAGCCTGCGGGGTGTTTGATGAGACGCCGTGTAATGAGGTGATCCAAAGTGAGAGATGCGACGGGTCGCTGTGCTGCGTCATGATGAGACAGAGTGGGGCGAGATGAAACGACAGGAGATTAGATGAGATGACACGCGATGACATGATATGAGGAGATTTGACATGATGGCAAAGGATGAGGCATGATGAACCTTGATGAGGTGTACCACCAAGTGATGGCTCTCTCTGAGCGTTTTGCAGCGTCTGTCTTCCTCAAATGTGGTGTGCCAATGACGTGTGTGCAAAGTGTGGGCTACGGGCCGACGCATATGGGGCCGCGGCAGCAGAGGGAAAGCAGGCGCAGACCGCACCAGCGCAGGGTGTCCGCAACAGGGGGCCAGCGATCGGGACGTTGGATCGTGTGAATTGTAGGTAAGGCAGGTTGCTCACCTGTCGTCCAGGGCGGGGCCAGGGTGCTGCAGCGAGCCGCCAGACCGCTGCACGGCAGCGGTGATGCTGGCGAGACCAACCTGCGTGCTGGTGGTGGCGGGGAGGAGGGCCGCGTTCGAAACACTTCCAGCTTGGCTGCAACCGCAGAGGCGTCGAAATGCGCCTTCAGCCAACACGCATGCATGGTGCACACCCCGCGCCCCTCCCGCTGTGTCGAACAGGCGTGCGCGAGTGCGCATCCCCGTCGCTGCGTTTGCCACTGCACCTGGTCCCCAGGGCTGGCCGCCTGCCCGCCCGCCAGCAGCAGGCCGCCCCTGACCAACGGGACCTCGTCATCCCTTAGTAAGAGCACCCGCAGGCCGTTGGCCAGCGTAACCTGCGGCAGCGCAGCCGGCGCGGCAAGCGACATGTTGTTTTTTGTTGCATCTCAAGCGGGGTGATGAGCCAGACTGTCACTTACACACATGCGCACACGCACCCCTCCACACACACACACACACGCACGCACACACACACACACACACGCAGACACACACAAAAACACACACACATGCACACGCGCTCACGGATGCACAAGGCCTCGGTCATCGGTCGCGCGTGCGAAACAGGCGTCGCCGGGCCACCCCACAAGCCGGCAGCCTGCGCAGGCCCCTGCTGCCCTCAAACTGCCAAAACAACGTGCGGGCCCCACCCGTTTGATGTCGGGGGCCTGGATGGGCGGCAGGGGGGGCGCGTCGACGGGCAGCTGCGGCAGGCGTTCGTAGACGCCCTGGATGCGAGCATCGTCCAGCAGCAGCGCGCCCCCCTGCAGCGGCTGGATGCCCGCCTGCAAGCCTTGCTGCTGCTGCAGCAGCAGCTGCTGCTGTTGCTGTTGGGGATCTTGCTGCTGCTGCAGTTCAACAGGTGGCGGCAGCGCGACCCCCGGGTCCATCGGAGGAAACTGCAGGCTGCCGGCTGCAGCCTCAACAGCCGCCGCAGCCGCGCCGCTGCCGCCGCCGCTGCCCCGCACGTCGCCAGCGTCCGGTTGCGCTGCGGTTGCGGGCTCCCCTGGATCCCTAAGCCGCGTCGTCGGCGCCAGCGTCGCATCCATCGGGGCAAATACAATGGGCGCCGCTGCCTCCTCCTGCTCCTTTACCTGCTGCTGCTCCTTCTGCTGCTGCTCCTTCTCCTGCTGCTGCTCCTGCTGCTGCTGCTCAAAGCCTGCGCCGCGGCCCTCGCCGTCGCTGGCCTGCACTCCTGGCGCACGCGCGCCACTCAGCTGCCTCGGCACAGGGGCTGGCGTCGTGTCCAATGGCGGCGGCTGCAAGCCGGCCTCGCCAGCAGGCCGGTCTTGCGCCTGCTGAGCGGGCGGGGTGAGGCTGGGGGCGGTCGCAGAGCCCGACGCGCCTGCGTTGGCGCGCCACCTCGCGGTGACGGCAGCGGCGCTCTGCAGTACCTCCGCCGGCGAGGGCAGCTGGAAGGCGGCGGCAGCTTGGGGTTGCAGCGCGCCAATTGCTAGCAGGGTCGAGGCGAGCGCGGCGGTGGCGGCCGCAACGGGAAGGCGAGCCGCGGGGGTGGAAATGGGCGCCACTCGGCCATCCGTTTCGGGATGCGTGGGCGGCACCGGCCCAGTGCCCTCGGGGATCGCGCCACACGATCGCCGGCGTGCGATGCCACGAGCAGCTTCAACCCGTTTCCCGCCTCTGAAGGGTCGCCACGCCCGACAGCTGGGGAAGATCATCATTCGTCCCTCTCCTGTCTAGTGAGATCAGGTGGGTTGAACTGCTTGTGTCACCTTGTTTATATCGTATCTTCTATATCCTGTGCAATGGCAACGATGTGTTGACCATTCCGAGCCGCTCTGCTCTGACGAGTGTCATCATCAGGGAGCAGACTCCTTCAACACAGCGTGCACTCGCATCCCCGCGCCTTTCATTTGCATCGCCGGAACCTGTGTTGTACCGATGGTATGTGCACTAGGGCACGGCACAAGAGGCCGGGGCGCGGAACCGCCTGACGCCGGCGCTCCAGATGTGCGACCCGCAACCGATCCGAGCCCAAAGCCCGAGCGTGCAGCCGAAAGCGGTCCCAGGCCGCCGGTCGACACACCTGACAGCGACCTGCGCGCCACGCCGGACGCCGGCGCGGCTCCCGTGCCGGCCTCGCCTCACGACGCGCGCCGCCCCGACGCGCGCGCGCGGGCGCCTGAGGCAGCCGCGGCGTCGCCGCTGCTTGCCTTGGACGCCCTCAGCCTGCAGCGCTGCCTGGCGTGGGTGCCGGACCCCTCCGCCGCGGCAGCCGCATGCAAGGCGCTCGCGCGCGTCGCATGCGCCGCTGACGAGGACTTTGCCCTGCAGTGGTTCTCGTCCGGCGCCGCCTCGCGCGGCCCGCCCGGCTGCTGCGGCACCCGCGCCGTTGCGTCGCGCCTCGCGCGCGGTCGCACCGCCGACGGCCTCGCGGGCTGGCTGATACGGGTCAGGCGCGCGGCGCGGGCCGCGGCCGCGCTGCGCGGGGGCGCTGAGGGCGCGGCCGGGGGCGAGGCGCGGCGGGCGGCGGCCGAATCCGTTGAGCAGCAGCAGGAGGAAGAGGACGCGCTGTTGCTGCTCGAGCGGGGGCGGCCCTGCGTTGCGCTCATGCTCCTGGCAGGGCCCTACTCGCAGGTGGGTGCATGAACTTCACTGCTGCCCAGCGGGTCCGCCTCAACCCCGCACATGCATTTTTGCCCTGCGCAGTTGCGCCCGCTTGTTGCCGAGTTTCGCTTCGTGCCACCCTGTTCCCACTCTGCGCCTCGACACAAGCTCCCGCCTCGCCTCCTCACCCGCCGCCCCAGCACCTGCTGCTGCCGCTGGTGGCGCGCTGCGGCGACCTGCCCCTGGTGCGGGAGCTCGTGCTTTCTGAGGCGCTGCCCGCGCGGCCCATGCTGCTGGAAGGGGATGCCTCCACCAAGCACTACGTGCTGGCGACCGCGGCGCGTGCGGCGATGCGCGGGGGGCGCGTGGAGGTCGCCAGGTGGCTGGTGGAGCGGCTGCTGGCGCAAAAAGAGGAGGTCAGTGGGGCTTGCGCGCTGCGTCGCACGCACGAATGCGCTGTGTCGCGTGCACGCACTGCACAAGGTGTCGCACGGCGCAGCCGGCAGCGGGGCCGACGCCGCCCGGGCGCCCCGGAACCGCTCGTGGCAGCGCATCCCAAGATTGCGGGCGCGGCATCACGTCATCACACCTCCCCGCGTGGCCCTCCCCGCCCCTCTCGCACCCCCGCTGATGCCGGCACTTTGGTACTCACCCCTCAAAACGTCGCATCAACCGTTCCACCCAACCCGCCGCGCCCCAGGGCGACGTGGATCGCACCGACCCGGCCTGCCAGGACGACCCTTTCGCCCTGCTGCGCTTCTGCTGCCGCCACGGCACCGCCGCCTGCCTGGTCAGCATCCCCGCCCTCCGCAAGGCCGCCCTCGCCGCCGTCGCGCGCGGCGCGCCCGCGGTGCTGCCGCGGCAGGTGGCCATGGCGGCCGCGGGGCGCGCGGACGCGGAGGGCGTCGCGCTGGCGAGGGCTCTGGTGGAGATGCTGCCGGGCGGCAGCCGGCCGGGCATATGCTGGCTGATGCTGCCGTTTGGCTGCAGGTGACGAGGGTGCTGTTTGGGGGGGCTGGGCTCGATGGGCGTCGGGGCCAACTGGGGAGCGCGCTGCAAGGCGAGGGCGGCGGCCCGGCTCCTCGTCAAGGGTTGGCGTGTGGCGAGCCGCTGAGCGGCGGCGCGGCCTATCTACCTTCTGCTGTGCGCGCCGCCGCTGCCGAAGCAGCACACAAATCGCGGCGGCAGTTTCTCCCCACTTTGGGTAAATGCCAGGTCCCCGGCCGTCAGCCACCCCCACCCGTCCACCCCTCTGCCTGCCTGAACCCCCTCTGCCTGCTGCCCCGTCCCCCAGGGGCGGCTATGCGCCGATGCAGGAGCTGATGGTCCGGCTGGCGGAGCGCCACGGGCTGATGAGCTGCCTGCCGGGCCAGATGGCCCAGTCCACCTCCGCCATGCGCGAGGTGAGGGGGACAGGGCCGCGCTTCGGGCGCCCGCCGACCCCGACGGGGGTGCCTCGTCCGCGATCGTGCTCGTGTGCACGCGCATTTGCGTACATAGACACGCACGCAGTTTCACACAAACTCGCACACACGCACGCATGCTTACACGCACATGCGCTCACGCACGCACACGCACGCACGTGCGTACTCACAAACACACTCACACAAACCACACACACAAG